GCAACCCAGGTACATGCCCTTGACCGGAATCGAACCCAGGACCCTTCAGTCCGCAGGCCGATGCTCTATCCACTGAGCCAAACCGGTTCCGGCAGGGACCCACATCTTTTCTTGTCCCTCGCAGGCCCTGCCTCCCAGGGGAAGTCCTTTTTCTGAACTGGGAAAAGCCCCTCTATCGTGTTTGCTTCTTCCAAGACACTCCGCTTGTCATTTCCCTTTTCCTTTTTTACAAATCTTCTAAATTCTCCCATGGGTTTGGACCTTGTGAAATAAAACCTGGAATTGTTGCTTTTGGCCTCGCTACTGCCCTCTCTGAAAGCCATGAAACGCAGAGCCAGCTCCTGGTTGGACAGAGGGAGAGAAAAGGAGAAAATAGAGGGGGGACAAAAGGAAACTCATAAATTAAAGGCTTACAAATATTTTTCAAGTATAAATGTATTTGTAGGTGCTCCAATCCCAAGTAATCACAATAACATAGAGAAATAAAACTTTGGGCACTTGAAGGAGAGATATTTATAGACAGATAGAACTTATGGGGCCCTTCAGATGCCACTATGTTTGCAATTGTCCCCAAGTGAATATAAAACTACCCCTGAACACAGTCTCTTGGAATATTTGGTTTGCTTACTAATATTTCCTGCCATTTCCATAAAACTTGAGTCCTGTTTTTTCTTAACTTTTTCTCATTCCGGTTTTGCTTTGCTAGTTGCAGGTCCTGGTGGATCAGATTTCGTTACCGCTTCCTTCTATCATCTTTGGCTTATTTGCCCTGAATTTCTTCTTGCAAACTTTTACAGACTTTACAAAAAGTTTGAACATTTATTATAAACTTGCCTCTTTATATTATTTATTTATTTTTAAATATTTTTATTGGTTTCAGAGAGGAAGGGAGAGGGAGAGAGAGATAGAAGCATCAATGATGAGAGAGAATCATTGATCAGCTGCCTCCTGCACACTAGGGATTGAGCCTGCAACCCAGGCATTCTTGACCAGAATCGAACACGGGACTCCCTGGTTCATAGGTCGACACTCAACCACTGAGCTACGTAGGCCGGGCTAAAATTTATTTTTAAATCTCCTTCTTCCTCCCCTGCTCCCCTTCTTCTGCCTCTGTCTCTCTCCCTCTGTCTTTTGTCCCTCTTGAGTTCTGTAAAGAGTGCTGCAGCCCTAAAAAAAAAAAAATCGCAAACAAATGACTCTTTGCTGCCCTCTTGTGGATATCCATTGATTAGCAGGCATGCTTCTCAAAACTAATGAAACTGGCTGGTAAAATGGTTAAGAGAATTGGGATTCCCACCTGTCTCCCACCAGCTGGCTCCTTCTAGTTTGCTTCGCTCTCTGGCGGGAGCCAGGGTACTGACCCAGTAGTTCTTTGATTTAATGTGATAGACTCAGCTAGTTTCCTGTTGCTGGTAGCATACAAGTAAGTTCTCCCATTTTCCTGTCTCAGTCCCAATTCTTATCTTGAATGGGGCAGCTTGACACTTGCTGGATTTTTACCAGGCGGAATCTTCAAAGTTCTTCCCTGGTGTCCAGGCTGACCATTCTGGCACCAGGGAGTTACCGGCAGCTTTTTCTGCTGCTGCTTCTTTTACCCCCCCTTCCCCCCTTCCCAAGGGTGAGGCATAATTTTTTTTACTATAAATGTAACATGTTTATTTACACATTCTTTAGGAGAAGCAGGTAGTGAAACAAGTAATAAATGTCACCTGTGAATGTCGACATACTCTCATGCTGACAGTTTCCACTGTATCCTATTTGTAGATGTATCTCTGAAAAAGTGCATCTTACTGTGAAATAGAAGTGTTTTTTCTTAAATTTTATACTCCTTTACTTTTATTTAAAATATGTTTTTATTGATTTTTAGAGAGAGTAAGGGAAGGGGAGAGAGAGGTAGAAACATTGATGAGGGAGAAACATCAACACCGATCGGCTGCCTCCTGCACGTCCTCTGTGGGGATCGAGCCCCCAAGCCCAGAATCAAACCCGTGACCTCTTGGTGCATGGGTTGACACTCAACCATTGAGCCACACCACCTGGGCTAGAAGTGGTTTTATATAACTCTTTTCACAAACAACATATCACTAACATTTTCTATGTAAGTTGCACCATCTTTTCATGCCTCTCATGCTTGCCTCAGGGCCTTTACTCTGGGCTTGCCTTTGTGAGGACAGGAAGAGTTAGGAGGTATCCCCTGGTTGGCTTCTTTTCATTCAAACCTCACATCAACGACTGCCACCCCAATGTAGCCTTCCATGACCCCTCAATCTAGGGGGCCCCTTGATCATTTGACATTTCCTTCATGCCCTGTGTCACTCCAATCTGACATGATATTGTCCATTGCCTGTTTTTGGGTTTTCCCATAGTAGAATGTAGTCTACCTGTGAGCCAAAACCCTCTCTGCCTTCTTTATTACTCTATCCTCAGGCTTCGGGTAGTATGTGATAAAAATAAATTACAGATGGCATAGCTGAGTAAATTTAAATATATTTTAAATATTTTTTATTTGTGATCAAGCCCACAACCCAGGCATGTGCCCTTGACTGGAATCAAACCTGGGACCCTTCTGTCCACAGGCCAACACTCTATCCACTGAGCAAAACCAGCGAGGGCTCAGATAATATTTTTGACCGACTGAATTAATTCTCTGGATGGACTGACCGTACCAATGCTTTTAAACCATTTCTTTTTATTTTTTTAAAAATATATTTTATTGATTTTTTACAGAGAGGAAGGGAGAGGGATAGAGAGTTAGAAACATCGATGAGAGAGAAACATCGATCAGCTGCCTCCTGCACACTCCCCACTGGGGATATGCCCGCAACCAAGGTACATGCCCTTGACCGGAATTGAACCTGGGACCCTTGAGTCCGCAGGCCGATGCTCTATCCACTGAGCCAAACCAGCCAGGGCTTAAACTATTTCTTATTGCAGAATATTTAGATTGTACTTTGTCTTTTACTTTTTTTTTTTTTACAGCATTATAAAAAGTCTTGTGCATATGGATAGTTTTTTCTCCTTTCCAACGTTAAATTGAAGCATTTTAAACATGGAAAAGTAGAAAGAATAGTGTAATGAATACCCATATACCTTCCATCAAAATAAAAAATTTGTTAATATTTTGCCACATTTATTTTCTCTCCCTCTCTCCATTTAAAAATAAGACTTCAAGATTCTTTACCCCTAAGAACTTCAGCATGAATCCTCTAAGAATAAGGACTCCTAAATAAACAAATTGCAAGCAGCACACCAAGGAAAGTTAATAATAATGAATAATTCTCTAATAGAACCTGATAGCCTATATTCAAATTGACCCAATTGCCTCTAAAAGTAGTTTCATGGCTGTTTTATTTATTTCAATTTTGAGGCCATGTTTCATGCCTTGTATGTTTTTGAATATCTCTTCAGATTCAGTCTAGAAAAGGCATCCCATGTTTTTGGTTTTTGTTCACTTTTTTTTTCTTTCTATAAATAAGAGTTTTATTTGTATTTCAAGTTCCCACCAACCAAATGACAAAAATAGAAATCTACATTTAGAGATAGGACCTGCTACCAATACCAATATGATTTTATTGGAATATGGAATGTAAACAGATGCTTTCAAACAAACAATCTACCCTTATAAAAACGTATGGCATTATTAAATAGTTAATAAAGAAACCCTAATGTGACGTGGTGGCAGACCCCTCGAGCTCCAGCCTAGCTGTGCGAGTCCCCATAGCTGTGGCGCGGCTCTGCAGCTGGGGGGCGGGGACTGCTTACAAATCAAGTTAATGTCAAGTCCCCCAAATGAAATCAGCACTATTTTTACTTTTTAAAACAAAATCTAGCTTCCTTTTCTAACGTGAAGGCTGGCACATGGATCCCAGGCTTTGCTACTCACTCTGGGAACTCCACTTCCTCCCCCAAGACCCTCGCCGCCTGGGCTGTGGGTGGCCCTGCCCATGTACCTGCAGGCGAGAGGGACTTGTCATTGCCATCACATTCACGTATTACCCATCAGAGCTTAGAAATGCAGAGTACCCTGATTACAGCGGGGAATTACTTCTCATGGGGATAAAAAGAGGCAAAAAGGGGGTGGGATGGGGATATATTTTTTTTTCTTCGCCCAATAGGTCATTCCTGAATAAAGTCTCATAGAACCTTTTTCCTCCCTCTCCCCCCTGACCTGTCTAAAGACCGACCTCCCAGCTTTAGTTATGGTTGTGAACAAAACGTCTTTGTTTCAGAGATGCGTTAAAATAGGTGCACACACAGGGATGTGCTGGGAAATGGTGAGGCTTCCTTACAAGGCTGCAAAAAAAAAAAAAAAAAAAAGCTACACACAAAAAAAATAGCAACAAGATTTTATGGTTAGGCAAATCAACAAAGGTTACAGTGAGCTCCAAGTTACGCACTTAGCATCTAACTTCTGAAGAGACGATGGACCTGTTCGTGGCATCACAGGGTTTAAAGTGACGTCTGCTGACACCCAAGGGAACTCATGAGAGTGACTGCAGTTTGCTCCCAAATTAATAGGCTTGGAGGAAACTGCAGGGCTGAGGTACATTTCCTAGAGAGCTCATGTCATAAAAAAATACATAAAACATGAATTTGTAAAAGAGTTAAAAAAAAAATACTGTCGCCGTTTTAGTATCTCCTGTTCGTAAGTGAGGCTGGTGTGTCAGTACAGGCTGCTGACATGTGGCTAAAACTTGAGCCTGAATCTCACCCGAGGAAACCCAGACCACAGTGGAATAGACAGGAAGTCAGATATTCAGAGCGGGGGTCTCCTGTGAAACACAGGTGAGTGTACGACTCCGAGTCTCCCGTCTCCCGTGCATTCCACAGGGAGAGGCCCCTCAGATCCTGAACTAGGGGCAGCGTCCCGCTCGCTGCCGGAGCGTCAGCGCCCTGGAGACTAGGACTGGGGAGTTTCTTTCTTTTTGACAGACTTTTAGGCCTTTACTCTTCTTTGCGTTTAGAAGGAATGACTAGAATTTCTTTGTATCACACTGGAGTTTTCCTTCAAGGTTTGTGTTGTGTTGGTTGGTTTTATTGGCAAGCATCAATGCCGCATTACCCGTCGCTTTCCAGTCTTCATCAGGCCGCCGTGAGACCACTGGAAAGTACAGCGTTGTCCGCACAGGGCTGGGACTGCTCCTTCACCACGGGGTAGAAGTACGGGTGCTCCATGGCCTCTTTGGCAGTCAGTCTCTGCTGATGGTCGTATCGCAGAAGTTTGTCCAGAAGATCTAGGGCCTCGGGGCTGACGAGGTGTCTGTTCTCGCTATGTATAAAGTTTTCCCAGCGTTTCCGTGAATGTTGTCCCAGGATATCGTTGAAGTGCGGGTCTAGGTCTATGTGATACTTCTTCAGATACCCATACAGCTCATCTGTCCCCAGGACCTTGGCAATGCGAACAAGCTGGTCATAGTTGTCCTGTCCGTGGAAGAAGGGTTCCTTTCGAAAGATCATGCTCGCAAATATACAGCCCAAACTCCACATGTCCAAGCTATAATCATACATCTGGTAGTCCACAAGGAGCTCTGGTCCCTTGAAGTACCTGGAGGCCACGCGGACATTGTACTCCTGAGCAGGATGGTAGAACTCTGCCAGACCCCAGTCTATCAGTCGCAGCTTTTTCTGTTGGTGATCTATCATGACATTGTGAGGTTTCACGTCCCTGTGCATGATTCCCTTGCTGTGGCAGTAATCCAGAGCTTTAAGTAGTTCATACATATAAAACCGGATATCAAAGTCTGTCAGGATCTGGTAAAGTTGCTTAAAATCTGTATTATTGATATATTCAAATACCAAAGCTGGTGTCTTTGACACAGGGTCCTTCACAGTGTCAATCAGCTTAATGATATTTGTTCCACCACGAAGGTTCTCCAGAATCTTAACCTCTCGTTTTATCTTCTTTTTCTTCACTGGCTTGAAAATTTTTACCACCACTCTCTCATTGTTGGTGATGTTAATGGCCTCAAACACTTCACTATACTTCCCCCGACCAAGTTTCCGAACCAGTTGGTAATCATCTTGATTCCCCCAGCTCGGGACGTGAGCCTCGTAGTCCCAGTAGTCGCGGCTCCTCAGGCTGTTCACCTCGGCGTAGACCCGGGCCCTGCTGCCCGGGGCCGGGCCGGGCATGGCGGGCGGGACCGGGGGGGGCGCCGCTGGGCGCCGCGGGCAGCGGGGCTCGGGGCGGCGGGCGGAGCAGGCGGCGGGCCGCGGGCCGGAGGAGGAGGAGGAGGAGGAGGAGGAGCAGCGTGGCGGCGGGCGGAGCAGGCGGCGGGCCGCGGGCCGGAGGAGGAGGAGGAGGAGGAGGAGGAGGCGGCGGGCGGCCACGCCAGGCCGGGCCGCGGGGGCGGCGGGGGGGGCGCGGGGGGCGCCGGCCGGGCGGCCGGGCCCGGGAGCGGCCGGCGGGGCGGCGGGCGGGCGGCTCTCGCGCGGCGCAGCGGCCTCTCTTTGTTCACTTTTTAATGACCTTGACCTTTTGAACGAACTGGATTTGTTTTCTTATAGGATACCCCATAGGATATGCCTACTCATTTCCTCATGATGTCATTTACCTTGTTTTCCTTTCCCTCATGTTTCCTAACATTCAAAGTTAGATCTAGATACTTGCCTAGATTATCTACACTAATAAAAGAGAAACATGGTAATTGGTGTACGACCGCTACCCTTCCCATTGGCTAATCAGCAAGATATGCAAATTAACTGACAGCCAAGATGGCGACCGGCAGCCAGGCAGCTTAAACTGAACATGAGGCTTGCTGGCTTCAGTGATGGCGGACTCCAACGTTCCCCGCGTGCTGCTGCAGGCCTCTGCGCGGGCAGTTTGAAACATAGTAACATAGAGAAGCTAAAAAAAACTCCAGAAACCTGCTTTCAGTGAGCTGGGATCTCAGAGCTGGAGTTGATACAGAGTTTTGATTGTAGAACACAAACAAGTCTGGGCCGGAGGGTTTCCGCTTTCCCAGCAGCAGAGGCCGCAGAGCTGGAGCCACAGCTAAAGCTGGCCCAGAATAAAAAAAGAAAAAAGAAAAAAAAGGAGCGGTTGGGAGCTTCAGTCACCCGACAGCCTGAAAACAGCCCTCAGCCCCTCACCCAGACTGGCCAGGCACCCCAGTGGGGACCCCCACCCTGAAGGGTGTGTTACCAGCTGCAAACAGCCATCATTCCCTCACCCAGGCTGGCCAGGCACTCCAGTGGGACCCCTACTCTGATCCAGGACACCCTTCAGGGCAAACCACCAGCCCCCACCCATGCATCAGGCCTCTATGCTATATAGTAAAAGGGTAATATGCCTCCCAGCACCGGGATCAGCGGAGCCGCGAGGCCTCCTGGCACTGGGATCAGCGTGACAGGGGGCAGCGCCCAAACCCCCTGATCGGCCCTGCTCTGTGTGTGACAGAGTGTGGCACCCCAATCCCCCACCCCCACGGGCCCTGCTCTATGTGTGACGGGGTAGAGCCATAACCTCCCCATCAGCCCTGCCCTGAGTGTGACAGTGGCGGCGCCCCAACCCCCTGATCGGCCCTGCTCTGTGGGTGATAGAGGGCAGTGCCCCAATCACCCCCTGGCCCCCCCACGGGCCCTGCTCTGTGTGTGACGGGGTAGAGCCATAACCTCCCCATCAGCCCTGCTCTGTGTATGACAGGGGACGGTGCCACAACTCCCCTATCAGCCCTACTCTGTGAGTGATAGGGGGGAGCTCCCCAACCCCCTGATGGACCCTGCTCTGTGTGTGACAGGGGGGGAGCTCCCCAACCCCCTGATGGACCCTGCTCTGTGCATGACAGGGTACGGAACCCCAACCCCCCTGATGGGCCCTGCTCTGTGAGTGACAGGGGGCAGCGCCCCAACCCCCTGATTGGTTCTGCTCTGTGCATGACGGGGGTGGCGCTGCAACCTCCCCATCAACCCTGCCTTGAGTGTGACAGGGGGCGGTGCCCCAACCCCCCAATCAGCCCTACCCTGAACGTGACTGAGGGTGGCATCGCAACCTCCCAATCGGCCCTGCTCTGAGCCCGACCAGGGGCTGCACCTAGGGATTGGGCCTGCCCTCTGCCACCTGGGAGCAAGCCTAAGCCAGCAGGTCGTTATCTCCTGATGGGTCTCAGACTTCGAGAGGGCACAGGCCAGGCTGAGGGACCCCCCCTTCCCCCTGAGTGCACAAATTTTTGTGCACCGGGCCTCTAGTCTATATATATAAAAGCCTAATGTGCTAAGTGTCCAACTGTTCCATTGACCATTTGGTTGACTGCTTGATTAGTGGCTATGACACACACTCACCACCAGGGGGCAGACGTTCCAACCAGTAGGTTAGCTTGCTGCTGGGGTCTTGCTGATCGGGACTGGGCAAGATATGCCCTGGAGTGCTGCTACGGTCCCTCCCAGCCTCTAAAATAGTTCTTCTAATTAATTTCCTTTCAATGTGCACGAATTTGTGCACTGAGCCTCTAGTACGGCCCGCGGGCCGGATCCGGCTGTTTAAAATGAATAAAACTAAAAAAAAAAAAAAAAAAAAGACCGTACCCTTTTATGTAATGATGTTTACTTTGAATTTATATTAGTTCACACAAACACTCCATCCATGCTTTTGTTCTGGCCCTCCGGTCCAGTTTAAGAACCCACTGTGGACCTCGAGTCAAAAAGTTTGCCCACCCCTGCTCTAGTATGATTATAATCATTTATAGTCATAACTAGAGGCCTGATGCACGAAAATTCATGCACTCGGGGATCCCTCAGCCTGGCCTGTGCCCTCTCACAGTCTGCGGCCTGTCGGGGAATGTTCACCTGATGGTTTATGCCTGCTCCCTGGGGGATTGGGCCTAAGCTGGCAGTCAGACATCCCTTTGGCAGCCTGAGAGCCCTCAGGGGAGGTCCAACTAATGGCTTAGGCCCGCTCCCCAGGCATTAGTTGGACATCCTTAGCACTACCGCAGAGGCGGGAGAGGCTCCTGCCACTGCTGCTGCGCTGGCCAGCCATGAGCCAGCTTCTGGCTGAGTGGCGCTCCCCCTGTGGAAGTGCACTGATCATCAGGGGGCAGCTCCTGTGTTGAGCATCTTCCACCTGTTGGTCAGTGCATGTCATAGCGACTGGTTGTTCTCGCACATTTGGCCATTAGGGTAAATTTGCTTATTACCCTTTTATTATATAGGATTCTTTTTCATGTTAAAATTGTCCCAAATTTGCCTATGGGATGTCCCATTAAGCTAGCTTCTATTTCCTTTTTGATATAATCCCATTCATCTTTAGGCATGCTCTTGGTTTCAGGCACTAAATCATCCTTGAGCATAATCCCCTGAGAGTGAGGGGCGCAGATTTCCTTCTAGTTTACGCTTTCTTTGAAGCTTTATGCCATTGCCCGCATCCTTGAATGTGATTAGAATCACCTAATCACCTAATGGTGAAGCATCTCTGAAAAACACTCATGCTCAGCTTCAAGTCCAGACCTATTAAATTGGTCTCTGTGATGGATCCAGAATTCAGGTATGAGTATTTTGTAAAAGAAGCCCAGTTGATGTCTATGTGTAGCAAATATTAAAAATAACTGATTTGTCTTTTAACATCTAAAGGAAGTTTTTTACTAGATTTGTTTTTGTTTGTTAGTTGGTTGGTTTTTTGGCTCCTAACATCCTCTACTGACAAAGCTTATCTTTTGGATAGTTTGCAAAAGAAAAATAGAGTGTTAAAGTGTTCCTCTCTCTCTCTCTCTCTCTCTCTTTTTTTTTTTTTAGGGACAGGTAATGAAGGCAGATTTAGAGTTCAGAGGCAATGGATTGATAAATAGAAATATCACACTGAGAATCACAGGAGGTATGGCAGTGAACATACATAATATGTTTACAGTGAACATGTTTAGTGCAGTGCCTGGAATATGATAGGTGATTAACATATATTATAGTACTAATATATTTTCTATACATCACATTCTAGTTTTATTATCGAATGAGGCTGAGGTTCTAATTAATGCCTCTCTCTCTCTTTTTTTAATTTTTACCTGAGGACATTTTTCCACTGATTTTTGAGAGAGTGGAAGAGAGAGGGAAAGACAGAAAGAAACATCGATGTGAGAGAAATATATCAATTGGTTACCTCCTGCATGAACCCAGATCAGGGCCTGGGCCAGGGAGGAGCCTGCAACAAAAGTACATGCCCTTGACCAGAATCAAACCTGGGTCCCTTTGGTCCACAGGCTGATGCTCTATCCATTGAGCCAAACTGGCTAGGATAATTAATGACTCTTAAGAGATGTAAGATGATGAATAATAATCATAGGGTTGAGGCAATATCTATTCTCTGTAAAGCTAAGAAAAGGGGGAGCAATTACTTATTTACCTCACATACGTTAAGGAGCATACTGACCGATTATTACTATTATTATTTAAGACTTTATAGTGCATTATTTACTTACTTGTGTATTTATTTATATTTATTTTAAATTTATCTTTATTGTTGAAAATATTAAAGATGTCTCCCCTTTTCCCCCTGTTGATCACCTCCACTCCCCTCCCGCCCCCTCCCTAGGCCTTCACTGCACTATTGTCTGTGCCCATGGGTTATCCATATATGCATATAAGTTCTTGGTTAATTTCTTCCCATCCCCACTCTGCACTCTCTTTCCTCTGAAATACATCAGTCTGTTGCATGCTTCAATGTCGCTGGATCTATTTTGTTCATCAGTTTATCTTGTTCATTAGATTCCAGATATAAGTGAGATCATGTGATACTTGTCTTTCTGTGACTGACTTATTTCACTTAGCATAATACTCTCCAGGTCCCTCCATGCTGTCTCAAAGTGTAAAAGACCCTTCTTTTTTACTGCTGCAAAGTATTCCATGGTATAAATGTACCACAGCTTTTTTATCCACTCATCTACTGATGGGCACTTGGGCCGTTTCCAGATCTTAGCTATTGTAAATTGTGCTGCTATGAAATAGGGGTGCATATATTTATTCTGATTGCTGTTTCAGGCTTCTTAGGATATATTCCTAGAGGTGGGATCACTGGGTCAAATTGAAGGTCCATTTTTAATTTTTTGAGGGAACACCATACTGTTTTCCATAGTGGTTGGTCAGACTGCATTCCAACCAGCAATGCACTGGGGCTCCCTTTTCTCCACATCCTTTGCCAGCACTTGTTATTTGTTGATTTGTTGATGGTAACCATCCT